TCTCTCTCTCTCTCTCCCCCCCTCTCTCTCTGGGCGCTCTCGTGGCCGAGGAGTTAAGGTGTTCGTCTCTCATTCAAAGGTCCCGGGTTCGAATCCGGGTTGCGACCGAAAATTTTTCTTCTCTAAAAGTGTCTGCTTTCACCTTCTTTCCTTCTCTCTTACAGTGTGGGTGGTTGGCTGGCGCTCTGGTGAGTTTGCCTCTTCTTTCCTATCAAACATCTATGGTCCATATCTCCCCTTCTTCTTTTTTATGTTTGTTACTCTCTTGTAACACCTCTAATCTTCTGGCGCTCATATGACCTTATAGTTGCGAGCGCCGTAAGACCTGGGCTAAAACAAAAATTTCTCACAGTATTCTGTTGGTTGTTTTCGTCTCCACTTTCTTCCAACTCCCCATCACCTCCTTTGCCCCCTCCATTGGGTTCCTGACTCTTTCTGCAGCCTTTCTACTGCTACTCCTTGGCTCCTTCTAACTGCTGTCTTTCAGCCGCACCCCTGATATTCTGGTAGGAAAGATCTACACGTGCCTTCTCGGACAATGGCGAAAAATCTCGGAGGTCCTGAGGGCAAGTTATGCACGTTAAAGATCCCTTGGTGGTCTAAAATCGATAAGAGAAGGCTCCGGCCGCCACTCGGGCAAACTTTAAAATTTCCTACCAATTGAAGATGTTTGGTGTGCCCGGCGCGCTCATATGACCTTATGCAGTTACGAACGCCGTAACACACTTAACCCCACCCCCTTTCACTCCTCTCTCTCTCTCTCTCTCTCTCTCTCTCTCTCAGCCCCTTTCTTTTACAGAACTCGGGTCTCAACCCTCTACCCCCTTCATCCGTCTCTGAACAGGACCCTCTCCCCTACCCTTAGCATTGGAACCCCCCCCCCTTTCCACAACCTTGTACAAGAGACCCAACCCCCTTTCACACGTCACCCTTCCTTTTTGATTCTTCTGTCAGTAATATTATAATCGCCCCAATCCACATAAAAAGACACATGCCCCCCCCCCTCCTCTCACTCGCGCTCTCTCTCGCTCTTTCTCTTTCGCTCTCTCTTTCTCTCTCTCTGTCTCTCTCACTCTCTCTTACTCTCTCCTGGCGTCTTTTCCCGCACGTGCCTGGTCTGATAAAGCTAATCAACGAGGTGATGATCAGATTAAGAAGAAAGTGGGAGGGGTCTAAGGAGAGAGTAGGAGGCTGACTGTGATGGGGTGGGGGTGGGGGACAGGACGGGGGAAGGCGGCTGTGATATGTGATATATGTCAGTTCCGATGACATCTTTGACAAAATGCAGAGCGGCGGCTTAAGCCTGTCAAGTGTCTAATCACCCCGTCGCTCTCTCTCTCTCTCTCTCTCTCTCTCTCTCTCTCTCTCTCTCTCTCTCTCTCTCTCTCTCTCTCTCTCTCTCACTCTATCCCTACAGGTATGCACCTGTACCTGTAAATGTATTTACCCCTCCCGCCCTATCGACATAATTTAAATGATATCAGAGACGGGCTTCTGGCCATGCCTGTTTAGGCAAACCCGGACTGAGATAGGATACAACATACCAGCAGTAAGATCGAGATATTGGATAGAAATTCTCCCCACTCGGAAATCAAACTTGAGTAACAGCTAAACCTCAGAAGCCGCTGCTGGTGCTCTGATGTGTTTTCTCTTTTTTTCCCTAATCAAACATCTGTCGTTCTTACTTCTCTTCCTTATTTTCATTTTTGTTACTCTTTGCTTACACCTCCACTCTTCTAATAAGCCCCATTTGTGTTGCAAGTGCTGTAAAACTATTACTTAAACTCAACTAAAGTAGAGGGTGGTTGGGGTGATGATGGGCGAGGAAGAGGATTGGGTGGGTGGGCCTGTCACACCAATGTGGTTACCGGGAAGTTAGAAGATTTCTTTGGGTTTGTTTGTTGGGGAAATATGTATTGAGATGGGTTTCTTTTATTTTCTAAACTTGTTCGTGCGTATAGTTTTGTCTTCTTTTGTTTGTTTTTATATCTTTCAGGCGAGTTACTGTACATCATTTGTAGTCACCCTGCGTGTGTTCCCACAGGGCCCAAATAAAGAAACGTTTTAATTACTAGACCAATATTTTCGTTTAAAGGGTTTTCTTTGGTCGCTGGCCTACAAAAGTGCTATGCAAAGTTCCATGCGCACTTATACTATTTATTTTTGTTATAGTAGATGGTTTTACGGCGCTCGCAACTGCATAAGGTCATATGAGCGCGCGGTAAACACCTAATATTTTTAGTTGGTAGGAAATTTGGAATTTTGCCCTGGTGGCGGCCGAAGCCTACTCATCGATTTTAGACCATCAGGGGATCTTTAACTTGCACAACTTGCATAAGGTGCGCACTTATACGTGAGCTAGAATACTGTTCAAACCCTGAAAGACAAAATTGAACAAGCTACACTTCTGATTCTGTCACTTCACCCAAGTGGGAATGGGTACCCGGCTATAGACAGCGACAGATCTTGTCAGATCGCTAGTGTTTGAGCACTTAATCAACTGCTTGCACTGTATGATGTTCCCCAGGAAACTGAGAATACTTTTGAGTGTTATTGCTTCTACTGTGGTAATAATAATCATAGCGTAAAACGCATAGAGCTTTCGGTCGAGCGGGGATAGGCGTTATACAAATTAAATGCTATCTCTTTTATTGTTGTTATTATTATTATTCATTATTATCATCATCATCATCATCATCATTGGTTATCTTAGTCAAGTGGACGTCTTGGACAGTGTTATAATAATATGTAGAAAAATGCAAAAGGGGGGGGGGGGGTTTGTACAACTGGTTGTCTTGGAAAGGTGGCCTTTAAAAGTAGGTTCGACTGTAAAAAAAATTGTATGAATGTCATTCTCGCCGCAAATAGCGGAGACTACAGTGATAGTGGTGGATTCTTTGTAAGTCTAAAGCCTAAAGATTAGCGTCTACTGATTGATCAAGAGTCCAGATCAACCAAAACTTCATCTGTCCAAATTCAAGATTCAGTTTGCGAACGGAGGCCTCAATTCTACATTCACTTATTTTCGAACCCAAAAACCGGGAGTCCATAAATCACGGGGACCCTCAGGCGTCAAAGTAGTAATCTAATAGCTTAAGCCTGTCTCCGACTGGACACTTATCTTATTATTCTCCCTGATGCAGATATTGTCTACTATGTCTTTGGAGGGTGGATTGGTTCCTTTTTTTTATTTCTTGAGCTAACAGTCAAGCCATTCAATGTCCGGGGCTGAGCTCAAAGTCACTTACAAATTATGTGTAACCATTCTTTTGGGGTTTTTTCTTTATTCTTTTTTCTTTGGGTTTTTCTTTTAAGGGGGGGGGGGTCTTTTTGCTTTTGTCAGGCCAATGTACTGAATTAAAGATGCCGTACCTCCTTTTATTTCTGAAATACGCATTTCTCTTTCTTGGTGTTTTATATGCTACGCGGCTACTTCATTATCATGGTGCTTCCGCACCCCAGATTTTCTCTGCACTCCCGGTCAACGATCACATATCCCAGATTTGTCAATGATCCTTGGGTGAGATAATTCCCCGGGCTCCCCATTCCCATCGGCAGCAGCTTCCGGTCCGTGAACGATGCGCGTTGGTCAGTTCTGTCAAGTTAATCTCCCACGATCGCGGGTGGCGCGGTGAAATGTGACGGTTTCTGTAGAGGATAAGATTCCCATAACACCCTTCCAGCCAGCTACCCTCCCCGGGAACTCCATAAATATGCATGTCTTGACCTTTGGTCCAAACCTCTTCGTCCTGGGGCCTTGCGTGAGGCCGTCACATGAAGCTCTAGGCCCGAGATGGTTCCCGGAGCGGCGCTATTTTCGATGAAGATTTGCTAGGATTTATGCTTTGTTTCATTGTCTCCCACACAAAATGACTTGAGAACCCCGAAGGAACCATTACCCTTGTCCAAAGCGGTAATTACCCTGTATAAACATTATTGTTCCTTGACAGAAGTAATAACTCTTCAACCTCCTCCTACACTTGGCCTGTTTATTGAATCCACAGAGATTTTAAGGTAGTATTTTACTCACAGATATGACATAGATCTAAGACACAAAGTATTTTAGATCCTGATATGACATATGACACAAGCATTTGCATCTTATATGTGGCATCTGACACAAGTATTTTGGTCCCAGATATGAAACATAACCCAAGTATTCAACTTTTAGTCCCAGACATGACATACCTCGTATGGTATTCTAGTCTCATATATAACAAGTGGTGCAGAAATTATCTGTCTATCTACCCCAGGAAAAAAGGGGGTTGGGTGGGTGACAGGAGAAGAGTCATGGAAAGACAGACAGACAGACAGACAGACAGACAGACAGACAGACAGACAGACAGACAGACAGACAGAGAAGAGGAAAAAGACAGAAAGAAAGAGTTAAAAGCCAATGATAACATTTTTTACATTCCTCGAACTTCCACTGCTTACATGCATGTAGGATTTCTCTCAGAAGGCACGCATTCTATGCAATTTTGTTTAGTAGAACTCGAGAATCGTGATGTTCTCTCACATCAAAATTTGTTTCATAAACTTCGACACAGAATGGCATAATGGCGTTGCATTTCCCCTTAACTTATCCCAGCGTGTGTACGTGAGTAGGCTTCCACATACCCCCCCCCCCCCAAAAAAAAAGGAGGACGTTGCGAAGTTCTTCGTATGGAGGATAACCGGAAACATTTCATTACCGACATCATCCCAATTTATCTAAAATTACGAAATCAGACTCACGGTTTGTGATACTTCTCATGACATTTTGCTGTATCCAACGTGAACGTGCCTCCCATAAACAAGACTGCTCATGAACGTTTTTTTTAAATCTATTAGCATTTTGTGTCATGCTACCAAACCGTGCTCTTCTTGTGGAACTGCTGTTGGGAAATTGCTGAGGTTCGCATCCTCCCTCCGATTTGTCTAGTCTCTACGTCGACCCACAACCCTTTCCACTTTGTCTCCATTAGCTTCATAGATCATTAAGAATTACGACATGATAGGCACTGACTGCCGTGTCGTCATATTTAGGCGGGTAGCTAGAGCCCTGTCTCTCTTTATAGCTATCCCACCCCCCTCCCAACATATTTTT